GTTCTGGCATCGTGCCCTTACCCCATTGCTTGTTTGTGAACCAGACCCATATCTCGTATATTACTGTGATATGTAACCAGATAAATGACGTATGTGATTGGGTTGACTTGGCGTTAGCTGCTGTAAATATGTCCTCCATCGTTGTTGGGGGAGTTATGCCTTGCGAGAGATCAAACATGTTGTGTGCCAGTTCCCATAGCTTATGACTAACTCGGCATTCTATAGCGAAATGCTCCAATGTCTGCAGTACCTCTGGGCACCATGGGCAGTCACGTGAAACTGTCGGGTCTATGTATGCCAGCCTCGTGCCCAAGGGTAGTGCCTTATGTAACAGCCTCCAGAAGATGTCTTTTTTATTGTTTGGGGCCCATTTTATTTGTGACCATGCCCAGTTTTCCTTTCTATTAGATTCGCTGAAAAAGTTGGTCTGCGTTAAGGTGGATGCGATAGATGACTTTTTTAGATATTCTGTAGCTTTTGCCGTAGTCAAGTTTTCGGCAGTGGTTTCCATAATCTTGAGGTCTTCAAGGTTCCAGGGCCAGTTTTTGCTGTTATCTGGTATTTTCCCCTTTAGTCTTTTCCAGGCTGTGAGGTATGATTTCCATTCGCAGGGCCACCCTTTTAGCCTAATTGGGTAGATTGAGAGGACTTCTTGTACCTTTTTTTTACGTCTTTTAAGCAGGGCAGCTTCTATTTTTGCCCTCTCGTTTATAGCCCAAAAGTTGCTGCTTGACCATAATTTTAACCAAACTATTATTAACCTGGCATCGAGCATGTCGGGTAGGACCGGGGCATTTAGACCATTATTTTCTAGTGTTTGTTGGTATATAGCGTACCTCGGGAGGAGCTTTGATTTGTTCTTTATCCAAGAAATCATTATCTCATTGATTTTATTTAACTGTTTTCTATTTGGCGGGAGTATATAAGAGGCAAACCAGACCCTAGATAGTAAGAGCGATTTTGCTATCAAAATCTTGCCCTTAAATGAGAGTCCTCTCTGTCTCATATTTTCAGTTAGCTTTTTCAATTTTATGGTGACCTTGTCCCAAAGAGTTTTGCTTGCTTGTCCCTCCTTATTCACCTCAAAACCAAGGATTCTAATTGTCTCATTTTCCTTTAATTTGTCAAAACTTCCCTCTCCTGGTAGTGCTGTCTGCGCTGCTTTTTCGGTCAAAGGTAACAATTTAGATTTTTCCTTATTCACTGCTGCATTAGCTGCTGCCTCATAGTTTGTTAGCAGATTCGTCAGATTATTCCAGTCTTCTGTTGAGCCTAAACCTACTGTTAAATCGTCGACATAGGCCGTGAGCTTAAACTTTGTGGTTCCTGTTGCTGCGCCATTTATTTTCAGTTTCAATTGTCTTAGAAGAGGTTCAAAGGCTATTACGTAGAGCAAGGGGGAGAGGGGGTCCCCCTGTCTGACTCCTCTACTGATCTTGAATGGGGTGGAGAGTAGCCCAGCATCTGTTATATGTGCCAATAAGTTTCCAAAAAGGCTTTTGATTAGATTTGTAAAAGTGGGGCTAAAGCCTATTTTTTCAAGTACTAGTATTAGGTAACTGTGGTTCACTCTATCGAACGCCTTCTTTTGGTCCAAAAAAAGAAGCCAGTTTGTGTCCGTCAGATTTTTTTGACTTCTCATCATACTTATAATGTCCAGGGCAGCATCAACAATTAACCTATCTTTTATAAAACCCGTTTGATGTTCACCTATAATGTCCTTGCAAATAAGGTTGAGCCTGTCTGCCATGATCTTCATAAAGATCTTAGTGTCTGCATTTACGAGTGATATAGGCCTCCAATTACTAATATTATTCAGTTCTTCACTTTTTTTAGTGAGCAGCGTTATTACTGATTTCCGCCATGAGTCTGGAATTGTGCCTGAATTTAGTGCTCTGTTAAAGACGTTTTGGAGGATTGGGGAGATTTCATTACGAAAGGTCTTGTAAAATTCATATGTTAAACCATCTGGTCCGGGTGCTTTGTAGTTTGGGAGTTTATTAATTGTTTCTGTAATTTCCTGTAGGCTAATTTCTTTTATTAGTGCAGTATTTTGTTGCTGTGACACCAAAGGAAGGTCATCCATAAGGGCCTCTGCCGCTTCTAGATCTATCGGTTCTGCTCGGTATAGTGCCTCAAATTGTTCCCTTATATACTGCAGT